TAATGTATCGTGTACAAATTAAATTAAAAAGAGTAGTATGAAAAAAATAAAAAACGTATAAAATAATGAGAAAATGAAAGAAAAATCTTTTAAAATATGCAAATGATAATGAGATTTCATAAAATATCCTAATTCTTCTCAAATTTTTATGAACCTTTTTAATATTAATTATTTTTGGTGAAATGACTAAAATACTCTCAATTTAAAATTAAAAAATAAATATTAGTGATTATTTTAATTTAAGTAATGACTTTTTTTAACAATGACTAGAATAGAAAAAAGAAACTATATTTTTTTCTGCACAAATTTTTTATTCATTAAAGTCTAACTGTTGTAAATATTCATAACTATTTTAGATTAAATAATGATTATTTTTCTTTTGACAATAATTAAAATGAAACAAGTAATTATAATTTTTCTTGTACAAATATTTTATCCAATGAAGTTGTAATTTGTACAAGAAAAATTGAATTTACTTTTTTATTTTAATTATTATGTGAAGAAAAATAATTCTTGTTTAAATTAAAATAATTATAAATATTTATTTTTATATTTTAAACTATGAGTATTTTAGTCATTTCATCATAAATCATTACTGTAAAAAGGTATCCAAGGATTTAAGAAAAAATTATATCATTTCATGTGATCTTATTGTCATTTACATGTTTTAGAAAAATTTTTCTATCATTTTCTCTAAAATAATAGACAAAGAACACGAGAAACTAAATAAGTATTGTTGATAAGTTGTTAGTTTCCTAAATTTTTTTGAATATATAGCAGATTTTCGCTCTTGATCACCTTAATTGTGGCAAATTCATTTCATTTTGTGAAAATGTTCTCAACATGAAGAAAATATCTATAAAAAAGGATTTTAAAAAAAAACTTCATGTTTGCAATTCTTTTCTTTTCTTTTTTAAAAAGGTTTTCAGATACAGATCACATAATCTGATTTATGTCTCTTAAAAACATGTGACCAATTTATAATCGCATATATTAACAATTTCACCAACATACTTCATAATTTTGGAGGTATGGAAACAAATAAATTTACAAAAATGATTAATGATAATTATCATTAATGTAATCAGTATTATATGAACAAAGAATAATAATAACTCCAAACTTGCAAAACTATCTCTTCGCATTGTGGAACCAAATATATTGAAATTGGGCCCAACATGAATCTAATAGGGCTAAAGAATGAAAAGGCTTTATCTTAAAATAGCCTTAGTAGAAGAAAGGTGACGGCCCACTTTATTATGTAGATAAGGCCTAATTACTTTTTTTTTTAATCTAAAAAGGTCAATTTTGTTGGATCTAGATTCAACTCGCGCGATAACAATTATCAATCTAATCAAATGATTATCAAGAATTTTATTATATAATACTTAAAAAATATCAAATCTCACCTATCAAGTCTAACTGCAAATAAGGTCAATAATTATTCTAATTTTTTTGGAGATAAATGTATCTTAATAATTTTTAAATATTGATAAAATTTAATGAAAGGTTTATTAAATGAATAGATTTAGGTTATTCATTAGATTCAAATATCTTTTTCCATGAGGTAAGATGCCATGTGAGGTCCAATTACTTAGGTGACAATCTCAGAGAAAAATTTAGGTCCCAAAATATCAATTTAATGATAATTAGATTTCTGATAATTTTTTTTAAAATGATTCATTAATATCAATCCAAAATAGCTCTCTCTGTGTGTAAATCTCTACTTCAAATTGAGAGTTTTGCTTGAAACATAAAAAAATCTGACTTGAAATCTAAACCACCTAATTTGTAATTGTATGAATTTTTATTTTCAATTTATTTTATCAAAATTTTTTTTCAAACACCTAATTGTAATTAAATTGATCTTCTAAAATTTAATTGTCATTTTCCATAAAATTCTTTGATACGTGAGAATGATTTTTTTTTTTTAAACAGCAACGTGGAAGTGATTTTAATGGAATGAAGTTATATATATATATATATATATATATTGTAACCATCATAATCAGAATTTATAATTGATGTATTTTCAACAAAATAATAAGAAAAAAAATGAAAACATTCGAATTATTTCACCTCAATTCAAGCCACCTGCAATTTTTTAAAAAAAAAACAAATTGCATAGACTAAAAAAATCAATTGTATCATTCATATTCATCATAAACTTGATTAAATTTGGGGGGGGGGGAATGCAACAAAAACTCAGTTCAAGAAATAAATCTCCAATAGTATAAAATTATTATATCATTCATATTTATTATTAAACATGGTATGTTCTCCATGTCTCATTGCACCTGCTCAGTTCACCAAAAAGAAAGAAAGAAAGAAAGAAATTTCCAACAACTCATAACACGTTTTTCTTCACAAAGCGCTTAGCTGAATTGGGCTCACTATTGGACTCATTCAGCCCAATTGTTTGATTTCCTCTTATCTTTGGGTCGTGGTGTTCATATGGATTATTTTTAAATGGGCTTCTTGTCATAGTAATAGTAATAGGACTAAGTGTTGTTACTCCTAGTGAAAGAAGCTATATTTGTGTTAGTGTAGAAAATGACTTTAGAAAAGATATTTTAATTGGACTTGACAGTGTTCGAATGTAATTTAGTTAGATAGTTGTGTGAAAAAATAAAAGAAAAATATAAATTTGAATTTCTGCACTTTTCTCATATTTTGTTATAGGTTTATGTACTTTTTTGATATTTTAGGTCTATAAATTTTTATTTTCGGTATTCTATGTCTCATACTTTTATTTTTTAATGTTCTAAGTTTCTAAATAAATAAAATGTAGTGATTTAGAACATCAAAAAATAAAAGTGTAGGGACTTAGAATATAAAAAAAAGTGCAGAGACTTATAACAAAAATCGAGCAAAGTGTAGGGATTCAAAGTTATGTTTTTTCAAAAATAAAATGAAAAAATTTCCAAAAAAATTAATACCAAATCAATTTTTTTAAAAGATTTTCTACTTAAACATAGAAGGATGTGTATTGAATTTGAAAAACTAAACTATGATGAGACTGTTTTTGATACTAGCTAATGTTTAGATAGATAGATTTATATTTAAATTTTAGATTAGAAGTCTTGTATTTCAAACCTCATATTTAAAATCCATGCATTTAATATTTTTTTATTTGACTAATTTAAAAATTTTTAAATGAGGTAGAGAGATAAGTTAAAATTTGAAACAAAAATAGAAATTTAAGAATAATGAATTTATCTCTATTTTTAATCAATAAGAGATGAGAAAAAATATAGAAGTGAAAGATTTATAAATAGTAAACTCACAAAGAGAACGAGATGTTTGAAATAATTAAAATTTAGATGACTAAGGTACCAGAGAGAATTTAAAAATTACAAAGGAACTAAAATAAGAAATGAATTGAATCTAAATTCATAAATTTTTGTGTATTTAAATGAAAGATCTAATTCAAATCCAAATTTAAATCTTCATTAATCCAAACACCTCATTGGAGATTTTCTATTCTCATTCTCATTTTATATCAAACAAGCTACTCTAGTTAGCAAGGGGGGCTTATAGCACAATATAAAATGTAAGTGAATGATAATATAAAATTAGAGCTTCCAAATGACATTTGTCCTGTTGAGAACTATTTTTTTAGCAACAATTAGAATGTGATTCTCATATTTCGTATGGTATTTGAGATAAGTTGCAATATTTATAGTTTACAAATAATTCGGTATTTTTCACTAATATCAACACTTATTGCTGAGTGAAAAAAAAATATCTAGTGACTAGTCTATGTTTGTTTCTAATTTGTTACCCAATATGTAAAATCTAATTTAATTTTGAAGATGACTTGATAACACTCTTGGTTGGATGTGTCCCACACGGAATTTGTATTTTTTTTTTTGGGTGACAAGACACACCCCTCATATCAATATACTTGTTGGAGGGTGAAAAAGATCTATATTCTATATGAACGTTTCCAATTTTTTTTTTGACCAAATATGTAAAATATAATTTAATTTTAAACTATTTATATTTCAATTATTTCGTTATAAAAGACATGATAATGCTTAAGCATTGTTCATGGTTTTGATGTACAGCCAACAGATCGGGCCACTGTGGATCAAGTTTTGATAACAAAAAGGGAGAATGACAAGTAATAGCCTTATAAGAACATTAATATCGAATTAAGTTTTTTTTAACACTAATGTTTTCCAATTCGATACTCATTCTCCTACATTTCAACACCAAAGTTTTTAATTTAATATTAATATTCTTACAAGATCCTTACTTACCATTCTCCCAAACAAAAAAGAAGTGCAAGATTTTTTTTTTTAAAAAAATACAAAGAAGATTGGAAAAAAGACGTCTCTTGTGGAAACAAATTGTCCCACATGGGCCCTGGGGCAAACGGATGACTGATGAGGCATTGGTGACCACACGGTTTTGGGATCAGATAAGGTTTATGGAGAATAAGTTCATGTCCGCTAGTGTTAAAGCTTTCCTCTTCTTGCTAATCAGCACTTGTAACTATTATGGTTTTCACTGGTTGATCTTTTTGGGTTAGGGACTTCTTACTTGTCTTTATTTAATACTCTTTGTAATGTTTCAATTTTTTAGCTTTGTTTTTTTTCCCTTTGGATCATTAGTTTCTATACGAAATAAGAGATATTTTGATTTGATATCTTGAAATTTTGAAACAACTGAACTAATTTTGTTTTTTTAATGGTTTTTTAAGAAAATAATCACAAGTACAATACTCTTTTAGTTTTGAAAAATTGTCTAAAAAAATATACAAAATCCAACTGTATCACGATTTCAAAATATCAAAATATTTTTTATTTTATATAAAAGCTAATGATCCAAAAAAAAAAAAAAGCTAGGAATTGAAGTTGGGGCATTACAAAAAATATCAGATACATTAGAGTTCCTTAACCAGATTTTTCATTATATCTATCTTTATCTTATCCTAGTCATTCTTGCACCTTGTCACTTTTCAATTATATATATATATATATATATATAACCCTTTTGAGTTGAGCTGCGTGAATGAAAGATTGCTTCTATTATTGATGATATTTTAGTTGTGAGTAGAGAAAGAAAAAGAGAAATGGCATCAGAGGCAAATTCCAATAGGTGGTCTCTTCAAGGCATGACTGCTCTTGTTACTGGTGGAACCAAAGGAATCGGGTCTCTCTCTTTCTCTCATATATGTTATCTTGTTCTTCTTGCTTCTTTCCTTACATCAACAATTATATTTATCAAATCTGGTGAGGTCAGGGTTTAAGTGAGAGTATTGTTTTCATAAATGCAAGGAAAATTAAATCTAGAGTCTAGAATTTTAGAAATTTTCCTCATTAAATTAAGGATCTGGTTTGTCATATTCAGCACCTCAAGGCATTAAATCCATAAGCTAAGTTCCTTTTTTTATAATCTATGATGAATCTTAGGCATGCTATTGTGGAGGAGCTAGCACAGCTTGGGGCTACTGTGCATACTTGTTCTAGAAATGAGTCTGAGCTTAATGAATGCCTACAACAATGGACAACAAAAGGACTTCAAGTTACTGGTTCAGTTTGTGATATGGTTTCTTCTGCACAGAGACATAATCTCATCACTAAAGCTTCCTCAATCTTTCATGGCAGACTCAATATCCTTGTTAGTAAACTAAATTTACATAGGGAAAATATCAATTAAGGACTACTAAAATAAATTTTGTATCAGTCAAGGATCACTTGTTGTCAAAATTTGAATGGATACTTGTTAATTTCAGTTAGTTTTTTTATTAACAAGTATCCATTCAGGTTTTAGCAACAACTCATTTTAAATTAACAACAGTCCGTTTAGATTTTGCCGAGAATGGGTCCTTGACTGATATAAATTTGCTCCAGCGGTCCTTGATTGCTATTTTCTGTTTTACATATTTGTAGTATATGTGCTACTTTTTGTGTTTGGCATCATTTATATATTAATTTTCTTCATGTCTTGGAAAGAGAAGGTTTCCCATGTCCTAATGTGTGATTGATTAGGGTTAAAAGGACAAATTAAAAAAAATTCAAGAACTTTTTTATTAGGAGCGTATAGTTTCCCTATGTCAATAAAGGTGTAGGAGTACTCATTAACTCTTTTCAGCGAGGCTGCATCCTTCTTTAAACCATTAAAATGACTTAACATGGACATAAGATATTGGGTTAGGAAGTAAAAATACGAAATTGGTATCCTTAAGTTGACAATAGTGATTGGTACTTTTGCACTTGAAAATTTTTTTTAAGATTTTTTGTATTTGGAGAGAAAGTTTATGAATATTTTTACATTATGTTTCTTCTTCTTCTTTTTTTTTAACTGAAAATTCAAGAATTTATAGCTTAAAAGTCTTCATTTTACACCAATTTTTTTGTTATATAAAGTCATCAAATATTATTTTTCCAAAGATAAAATCAAGCCACGTGAGTAGAATAGTTGACTTTTTGATGAAGCCTGTCTCCCAGAAGATTCAACATCGCTAGAAGGAATTTTCCAACCAAATGAATGCCAACATGTGAACATACCATGTCCATATTTCAAGGTCCAAAAAAAAAAAAAACACTATGTTCATATATTTCCCCATGACCACAAATTTCACTGTCGATTATTTTGACAAGAAAAATGGATAGTTTTTCCTTACTAAAAAGACTTCATGGGTATTCATGTACTGTTACTAACTTAAAAATACTACACGCTTATGATAAAAAAGTTCTTGAATTTTTTATCCTTTAGCTCTTGATCAGAGTGTGTATCATCAACAGAGATGCTGAATGTCTTTATTTAATACTCCCTCCATTCTAAATTACAATGCACTTTTAAAAGAGTTTCTTTCTTTTAAAGTATAAGACACTTTGAGTAGATTAAAATTTTATTGAATGTACCAATTCTCATATTACCCTTTCTCTCTCTCTATAATTAATTTTTGTCTTTTCTCTTTTTAATATATTAAATGATGGGCATTTTTAAAAGTTTATATTTTTATTTGGGAAAAATAAGGTCGTTAAGTATATTTAATAAGATTTATTGATATATAAAATTTTATTTAAAAGTATTTTATAATTTAAGATAGAGGGAGTATATGCTTCTTAGATCCCATCACTTTTTTGGCTTCCTGCAGTAGTACAAGAAAACAATGCTTTTCTCCCAACTAGTTATGTGAGAAAAGCGCTTCTCATTGATTTCCTTAACACTCCATGTTTGAAAGACTTTGGGGAGAAGTACATTTATGTCTCAATGTGGAGAATTAATTACATGTAGGTCCTGATAAAATTCGTTGGAAAATAAATTATAAATATAAATTCAAACATACAATTGCAAATTTAAAAGTTTTAATTGCAAATAAAACATTTAAATTCTAAATGCAACTCTTTGTTTGCAATTGATATTTTCAATTATTTGTAACTGTCTAAATTACTATTTATAACTCATTCTTCAAAAATTTTGTCTAGACCTAACTGTTGTTATTTTTTTTTACTTTTCGGTCTTTACTATATATTATTCTTTTTAAGATTTTGGGTACTTGTCATCGATCTTTTGTTTTTTTCATAAGCTAATGTTTTTATTAATGAATAGGTAAACAATGTGGGAACAAACACAAAGAAACAGACTGAGGAATATACAGAAGAAGATTTCTCATTTTTTATTAGTACAAATTTGGAATCTGCATATCACATGAGCCAACTTGCATATCCTCTTTTAAAAGCTTCAGAAGCTGCGAGCATCGTTTTCATATCTTCCATTGCCGGTGTGGTATCTGTAAATGTGGGATCCATATATGGTGCAACAAAAGGTAATTATATTGTTCCCTTTATTTGATTTTTGTGGTAAGATGTATGTGTGGAAAATTTCATTAATTGTACATTTGCATTAATGAGGATTTACACCAAATTTATTTCTTATTACAATTCTTTTATGATTTTGAATTCTCTTTATATCTTAGTCATTTGAAATTCCCATCACTTGAAACATCTTGTTATCCTCACATTTTCACTATTCATGCTGCTGTGATGATGACTCCCTTTAAAAAAAAAATTACAAGCAAACCCATCATTCTGAATTTTAATTTCTTCTATTGTTTCGAATCTCAATTCATCTTCTCCTTCTTTTTTTCATTTGGATTTCTTTGAACTACACAAACAAAGGATCTTGAATACATGAATTTTAAATTAAATCTAAATATATTAATCCAAATGCTACCTAAAAACATTTAAAATGCATGCAGGAGCAATGAACCAACTCACCAAGAACTTGGCATGTGAGTGGGCAAAGGATAATATAAGGACTAATTGTGTTGCACCAGGCATTACTAAGACACCCCTCGCTGATCGAGTAATTATTCTATTCTATCCTTGCTACTCTTATCATTTTGTTGTTGTACAAGGTCCAGAAGAGTCATATACTTGTACTTAATTTATTGAGAATTTTTTTTATTATTATTGTTATTGTAGTTCCTCAAAGATGAACAGTTACATGAGGATTTCATTAGAGGAATACCTTTGAAACGGATTGGGAAGCCAAATGAGATATCTTCTGTGGTGGCGTTCCTCTGCTTACCAGCAGCTTCCTACATAACAGGACAAATTATTTGTGTTGATGGAGGATTCACTGCATTTGGTTTGTGAATTTTGAGAAATCTTGGAGGCAAAAGTTACATAGTTGTTTTTATTTATATCGAATGATTCGGCCTTGGACATAAAATAAGCTTAGGGGGAATAAATCACCATTATCTTTTTAAGTTGGGATAAAATTGTATGAAAAAATAAAAAAATATTGTCTTTTAAGTATATGCATGTGGTGCAATACATGCTACGTTTGTTTTATTACCTAATAATAGAAAATGTGTAAAGTGTATCTTCAGCTAGTCTTTTAATTTTATACAATATGTTATTTTAGTTCCTTAATTTTATAAATTTTTTTTTTCAGATTCTCTAACCTTGACATGGCTAGTTTCGTTAACAAAAAAAAAAATTCAACTTTAAACATTTAAATGTTTATAAAAGAATTTTCAAATGTTGACTTGTTAAATTTAATTTTTTCAGTTAAACTAACAATAATTGACACAATAGATCATCATTGGAGATTTATTAATAATGTTAAGGTTAAGGGATTGAAAATATACTTTATAAAATTAAGAAACTAAACTAAAACCTTACATAAAATATACTTAATGTGCAACAACAAAAGTTTACATAAAATTGGGTATTAATCCTTTTGGTCTTATTTGTGTGACATTTTCTAAGAGTGTTGTTTGGTTTAAAATGTGGGATACCTTACAATAATTAAACTACTTTTTTTAATTTTATCATTTTTTAATTAGCGTGAACATATTCAATGTAATTATATCATTATTTAAAGCTAAAGGTAAAAAATAAAAGTACATCTTATTTTTTATGATATCAAAAAAAATTAATTTTTTTAAGATGCAGGGTGAAATAGTTGAAAGTGTTCTTCAATAGATAAAAGAATACTTGATATGAGACAACAATTCAATGGCATAAAAACTAAGTCTCCACACTTATGACCCATGTAACAAGCTACACTAGTAACTAAGTAAGAAGTGTGGAATAATTAGTTTATAAAGACCGCCACCGTATAACCATTCATCAATGGATGCTATTTACCATATTGAGTAAAAGTAGAAACCTATAAGCAAGAAAGTATAGGAATAATGACACTAGAAATAATAATATTATTAAAATAATACCATTGAAGGAATATTAAAAGAATTTAATATTTAATAAGAATTTCTAACAAGTAAACATTTACAACTAACAAGTGAAGTTATTGTTTTAACAAGTAACAAATCTAATCAAGTTTATTATCAAAGAAATATTAAATTCTTTCAAGGATTTTCCATTGGTATTCTCCCAACCATGATTATTAAAATCACGATTTAAATCGTTAGAATCATTGACTTTGCATTTTTAGATGACTTTATCTATTTAACTCATATTTCCTCCGCTTAAAAATATAAAATATTTTTTTAAAGGTTAAATGTTAAAAAATATATTTTTTAGTTTATTAAAGTGTAATCGTTGGCTTTTTTTCTCCCAAAAGTGCTTTTATTGAATAAATTATTTTAGGGTAAATACCCTATTAAATAAGAGTAAATATAAAAAATTATATTTAATTTAAAAATAAATAATTATTTTATTAAAATGAGATTTGATTAAAAATATTTTTTTTTGAAGGGAGGGAATATGTGGACACACTTCTCTTCTCCACACGCTCAAAATTGTGTTAGTTCGTTGAAATCGATTCAATTGTAGTTGCTCAGCGCCTCAAGGCGAGTTGGATTTTAGAACCACCAGTCTCCAAAAGTCGGACCCCACCTGTTTAAAAGGTTTCTAAACCCAAAACACATCCCAAACGAATGTTTCTTATTTTAACGGCAGTAAATTTAAAATATATACTCCTTTTTCAGCGAAAAATATGTTAAAAATTATATATTTTTTGAAGACATTTGTAAATTAGTTTCTATTATTTGTATAATTACTTTTCTCAACATAATTATGATTATTTTAGCTCAAACAAACCATGAGGCTTTCTGATTAATTATAAAATAATAACAATATTTTAAAAATATTTTTTGTAAGAATATTTTAATTTTTTATTAATAAATTAGTCTTTAATCATTATTAAGGTAAACAAATGATCATTATTCCTTACCAGCAATTTTAATACACACACACCCTTTTTTATATTTTATTAACAGTGGGTAAACTCTTATGATTTTATGTTATATATTTATGATATAAGTTCACTTTACCTTAGCACGTATACTTAGATTCATGATTTTGACAACCTTGCTCCTAACAGTATTATTTTCATAACGTACAGATCCAAAAATGGGCTCATTAATGCCATCAATATCTACTGAAGAGGCAATAATAAAAGCAATAATAAATACAAAAGATGCAGTCAATAAGGCATGAGAATCGATCATGATAACATCACAAATATAAAATAAAAACAAAATTAAACAATATCAATTCTTATGGGGCATATACGTAGTACCATCTCGTTGGAAATGAAAATTATACAAATATAAAAAATTATACATAAAATTGAAAAAACTCCATTAAGTGTCTCAATATTTTTGCAATATATCAATTTAAGGAGTTAAAAATATATAATTTTTATATTTTAATAACAAAATTAAAAAAAATTAGGGGCTTGTGAACCTTGGTCCCTTGTCTGTATATCCCTGATTCTGTATTGTCACCGTCTGTGAGGTATGCACACTTGCTGTTGAAATTATTGCATGAAAGATAATTGTGCACCGTTTTGCAGAAATAAAGGTTTTCTCATCAGTCATCTATCATAATCATTGTACTGTCAAACAAACAAACCACTTGAAGATTCGAATCCATGCAATTATTTGAGTACTGTAACAAAAATATCACCCGACAAATCCTGATCACAACGAAACAAAACTGGAAAACAATTATTGTCTCGTGTATGATTGGGGCCGGTGACAGATAATAATGTAGATAAAAAAATTCTTCACAGAACAATTTAAAGTCAAAGGCAATTAAGATATACATTTTAAAATTAAATGATAAATTTATTTTTAAATTATAAATTTAAAAGTGTTTAAAATTATAAATTTATTTTAATTTTTTTTTAACTTTTGATATTGAGACTCTATTGCTCATATCTTTAAGTTGTCAATAAATATTAGCTGTGACTATTAATTAAATAAAAAATTATAAAAAAAGATTTAAAAAATTACAAAAAAATGACACATGTAATTTTTTTTTCTCATTATTTATAATTTTGAAATTCTTTTTGGTCAAATTAATATAGTGGCAATTTTTGGAGAATATTGGTGATTGTCTTTCATGCACTACTTAGAAAAATTAACTTTTATTACATTAATTTATGCGACTTATTAAAAAAAATAAGTGGTGACATTTTGATAAATAAATATCAAATATGGCACAAGAAAGCGACTTCTCAATCAATTAAGTGGTGACATTTTAATATGTGGGTTACCATGTCACTTTATTAAAAACCGACTTCTATTGAAATGACGTCCAAAAAGACCATGCAACTAGGCATTGATGGATTTGTTACTCAAAATGGGATCGCAACTTGTGGTGATCTAATATAAGATAAATATAAAAGTTGGTTGAAGGGTTTAAAAAAAAATATTGGATTTCAACCAAGCATGACAGCAAAACTCCTATGTGCATTCTAAAATTAGTGTTTTCACTAATTGGATGGAGACTCTAGTGCTCACTCAATGTATTTTCTTTGAATCACCCTCTTTACACTCCATTAAAAAGAGTAGAGATTTATTAATGTAAGATTGAATTGTTACTTTTAATCATATGTTTAGAGAAACTAACAATGACACTAACTAACTCGCTTGTCATGCTAATCGTGAGACATTCAATTCAATAATTTTACATGATCCACCTATTGGCTGCATGACCTTTTTGAGCTCTAATCTGATTTAGTTTATTCTTTTTCCGCACGGCTTATATTGTGGCCTCAATGATTTTACTTTAGCATCTATCATAGTAGTTTTCTTTTACTTTTAAACCATCAATATTCCTTTTTACTTTAACATAATTAAGTTTGTTTATTACAAAATACACTTTTTATACTAGTTAAAAATGACTTTTTACACTAGTTAAAAAGTCTTTTCTATCATAATATGATTATTATGGTAGAAAATGTCTATCTACCATGGTAAGATTGTATTTGTTTTTGTAAAAGGTATTTTGACTCGTTTTAATGATAGTAGACTTTTCATTATTTAGTTTTTTTTACTATGGTTGACATTTTATAAATGGTTTTAATATTTTAATCATGAAAATTTTTAAGATATTTAATTTTTTTCATTACCATAATAGTTGGCCAAGTGTTTGGTTAGATTTTAAAGATGTTATAAATATAGATTCGAATTGATACTGTAGAACTGCACTTTCAGTTGTTTTTTATTGAACTGGAAAAATGCGGACCTACAGTGAGAAATTGGATGGTGGTTGTCGACCTACAGTAAAAAAAAACATGTGGGTGTAGTACCGGCAGAAGAATTATAAATTTAAATTATATTATTGATTCAATTTTTAAATTTTAATTTAAAATAATTTCATGTAATTTATTGAGTTAAGGAATCATTAAGCACTAAGTTGTTACAAATAAAAAATTAAAAAAATACATATAAGTCCCATGGAGCAGACTTATTTATCAAGTTCTTTGGAACTTGAGCATAATTTGAAATTGGGATCAAAGACATTAATATTCCTAGTAAACATATATACATTACATCAATCAAATAATTTACAACTATTTTATTAATAATTTATAATTATAATTTTAACTTTTTATAGTTGTAACTTTATATATTTAATAATTACATTAATTAGTTTAACTATTGAATATGTGAAGTTATAGTTGTAAAAAATTAAAATTATAGTTGTAAATTACTGATGAAGTTATTGTAAACAACTAATGTTAAACTTTATTGGTAACACATAATTTTTTTTATTTTTTAATAATACAAACAAGAATGGAAAAAAAATGGTCCCTTGTGGAGACAAATTATACCACATGGGGCAAACGGATGACTGATGATGCATGGGTACCCACACGGTTTTGGGATTAGATAAGGTTTATGGAGAATGACTTCATGTCCACTAGTGTTAAAGCTTTCCTCTTCTTGGCAATCAGCACTTGTAACCATTAAGGTTTTTATTGGTTGGTCTTTTTGGGTTAGGGACTTCTTATGTATCTTTCTCCTATGTTCTTTGTAATTTCTCAATTTTTTAGTTTAGTTTTTTTTTCTTTGGATCATTATCTTCTGCACGAAATAAGAAATAATTTGATTTGATATATCGAAATCTTGAAATGATTGAACTAATTTTGTTTTTTAATGATTTTTTTAGAA